ACAGTATCATACACCCTTTCTTCCACTCTGTTTCCGGTTAGATGGTAGTTGGTAGCCCTCCCGGTACCGAAAACTCCCAGCTACCTGACTTACGGGACCGGTGGTAATAGGGGCTATACGGATGGGGCAAATGAGTGGAGGCGTAAATGGCGCTTGTAGGGAATGCCTGGAATTGACGATCCTGATAAAGTGGAAGTCTAATTTAAATAAAGCGAAAAATTCGAGGAAGGTGAACACTTCGGGTCTGACTGACGTATGAAACGCCTTGCTGTTTTAGTCTGAACGCAAGAGGTAGTAAGTGCGCGATGTGGTAGGTGAAGTGCGCCCAGTTCAAACCCAGCAATGTCGAAGCGCCCGGGAGGGGAGTGCTGTAGTGCCTTAAACTGGAAGTGCAGGAAAGGATCGCTAACTGGCCATGGCGGTGTTTACAAGGCGTCGCGGTTTTCAGCCAAGCCCCTGCGACCAAATACAACCGGGCTGTTCGTAAAGGCGGGGGGTGGAGGGCAACACTCTGTCAATACGACTGATGCAGTGGATGGAGTACCGGTAGACACCATAACTGAGCATCGGTTGTCCTTTCGTACACGATCGCACCGGACTCTACTGGAGGTCTGGAGTAAAAAGACCCAAGGATGCAGGCAAACCGACGAAACGGAGACCCGCGCCAATCCGCCTAGGCTAGTATCTATGCAATTAATCTAAAGCAGGTAATACTGTGCGCACATGCAACTAGAAGCATAATGGGAAGCATGATGAATCATAATCCGTTCAGGATAAATCTTTCGCCTTTTACTAAAGATTTCCGTGTGGGGGTGCGATACAATGAGTCAATATAGACAGTCTTGCAGCGCCTCGTTCTCGGGGCGGTTAAAGTGAAGAAGAAAGTCATCCTGATAGGGCCTTTGTGCGTGCACCCCCCAGACATAATGAGAACGTTATCAAAGACACCGAAATCGAGCCAGTAGGTACAATTGTAGAATTAGTGGGCAGGGCTACCAACTACCATCCTGCCCTGTTTCCAAATATGATCTTTAGGGAAAACTGGTTTTTAGCTTGCTTAACGCAGACCAGCAATTATGACAGTCCGGCAGTCGAAAGGCACGACGTCCTCCGGCTATTTCACGAAGTGGCTGCAACACTAATGGCTTGCTCGTGGATCGCTGTATACTGAGGTACACTTGCGCAGAACCCACGACATTCTTTCCTATCTCATCCAAGCTGCCCGATGACACGCCGAGACGACGGGGGGTGTGGGTGGACGCAGGGATTAGAAAAACTAAACGGCCAGCCTTCGCGTACCAAACACACGACCCGGTTCCACTACACGTACAGTAGGTGGGCTAACTCATGAGATGTCAACAGAAATTCCGAAATGCGTTTTCGTTTCGAAAAGACTAATTAAGTACGGTTGAAAAACCAAACAGTATGCAGCATAATTCTATCACACTTCAGCTACCTCAGGATGCCGGCTTTCGAAAGAACTTTCTTCCGACTGCATGCAAAAACTACACTCTGTAAAAAATGACTACTTAAATAGTACGGATTTTTCTCATTGATTTTCGATGCCCTTAGAAAGACAATTATGTTTCATGGAAAATACGCACAAAGATATACATTCTTCTTCTCATTCGGTAGAAAATTACGTATTCTTTCAATTTCATAGGCAAAAGAAGAATATAATTTGGTTTTAAAAAAGTTTCTAATTGTGAGATTTTTTAATACCGTGAAATGGCCGTTCATAAAACGTCCTGTCTCTGCATTTACTAGTGTTGCTTTCAAAGTTATCAATATGGCTCAAATCCACCGATAAATTCTATGAACCCAATATGATCTCCTCTGAATACCGTAGAGAAATCTACGGTTTTCCGTACGCGAAAACTATACGGCTTGTAGTTTGGAAACCCTGAACGCCAGTGTAACGGCAGGTCAAGTTCAAAATTACTCGGGATTTGGAAAAGTTTTTCAAACCGAATTTAACCCTTTCTTCGAATTTAAAATTGAAGGCGGACTTAATGTTCTACCGAATGAGAAGAAGACCGAATATTGTTACGCATGTTTTCTATGAAATATAATTGACTTTCTAGGGGCATCGAAAATCCATGAGAAAAATCCGTGCTACTTAGGTAGTCATTTTTTGCAGAGTGTAGGTCCTATATGCAGCCGAAGAGAAGTTTGTTTGAAAGCCGACATCCTGGAGTAAGTGAATTATTATATAATTATGCTACAAGGTGATTGGTTTTACAACCGTACTTAATTAATCTTTTCGAAACGAAAACGCATTTCCGAAGTTCAGTTGATATTTCATGAGTTAGCCCACCTACTGTATTAAGTTACTGAAAGCGGCCCTCTAATCTGACATGGGTGAGAACAGCAAAAAAGACACGCCACTGCAGACTGATTCCCTGTCCATCTGTTACTCCGCCATACTCACCTCGAGGACCGTGTTATCCCGTCAGTTGTCTACCTTCCAAGTCACGACTCTTAGCGTGCTGGGGGTAGATTCAATCCTGCCAAGTTTATTACTGTGAGGAACGCACCGATATGAACAAGGATTATGATCCCCAGATTACGGACTAGGGAGTGCTGTTTGAAATACATGACATCTACAGTGAAAGTCTACCCGTTATATCCAGTTAGTTAACGTTTGGAATTCTCCACGCCCCCCTCGCATGTGCTTCCACTTTGGCTCCCCGTTGATATTTCCTGTCCCCCTTTTGTAGCCCTCTTTCGGGCATTATCTGCGTTCTTTTAATTAACTGGTTTTCCATTCTGATCTTGGGCTGGAAATTCAATTTGTTTGAATAGTAACAAAGGAATTCTTTGGCTAGGGTATCCATTACTGAGGTTTATACGCTTTCCAATTATCACCTATATTCTGTCGATAGTGCCGTTTATGCACCGAAATCTGTTTTTTGGCATATACGCGTCGCTCGGATTAGCAAAGAATTCGATACCATCTGTGAGATGGATTCGAACAGTCGACTTTCAGACGACACTTCGTGGAACTGGAGGAACAGTCGGTTTGAGTCTGTCACTGTCAGTCATTTTTGTGAGTAAGAACCCCCGTTTCCATGGCAAGACTGAAATGTGGCCTCCCTCCCCTGCAAATCCTCGCTTGCGTAGTTGCTGCCTACTCTAGCTGGGTAAGCGTCTGTATTTGATTAGCTACATTCAGTAGTATGTTCACCACATTCATTTTCCCAGCCTAAAGTGGTTCGGTCGACGTTTTGTCATCCACCCTGAGGGTGATACTCATGAAAGCATGCTAATCTTTACGATCTGCTTGGTCTCAAAGCCATAAAACCGCTGAAATAGAAACCGTGGTGACTTCATACGGCAAAGTGATGGGAATTTGTCTTTATTGATATGGTCCAAAAATTCAATACGAACGACGTATGGTTACAGGTGCAAGGTGCCACACCTAAACAAATCGGGTCTTCGTGGGAAATGCCCTGCTTTAGAAATCAGAAATGTGTGCTTTGAAATGGGACAACGTTGGTAGGGGATAGTTCCGTTGATGCCATTCTTGCAGGCATTATGAACAGCATTAAACAATCACGTTGGAGTGGTGCTGGGGGTCTCAGGGTTTAAGCGATTCACAGCGCTGATTGCGTGTCGATTTTAAGAGAGTGGGGGGTAGGCTCCAGTCTAACGGTCTGTTCTAGTAGGCGTTCAAACTATGCAAACCTTAGTTATCTGAGATTCAGTCAACGCAGATGTTTGCCATCAATCAAAAATTCTGGGCTCGGTATGTGGATGATACCTTCGTCGTCATCGAACGGGATCAGGTGCTGGCATTCAAAGAACATCTCAACGCCATCTTCCCGGACATTCAATTTACGGTGGAGGAGGAAGAAAACAACCAGCTGGCATAGCTGCCGCAAAGATTGTGATGGCCTAAAAACCAAAGTGTTCAGGAAAGCGACAAATACGACACAAATACGGAACTTCAACAGCAATCACCCAATCAGTCACAAAAGCAATTGCGTAAGGGCGCTGTACCGGCGCGTTGAGACGCACTGCAGTGAAATGGAAGACAGAGTTGCTGAATTGCAATATCTTCGACGGGTACTGAGAGCCAATGGCTACCCGCGCAACTTTGTCAACCAGTGCGTACGCAGACGAAATCAAAAACCAAATCCAACTGGCCGCAAATTTTGGTGAGCACTTCCGTACGCGAGGAACGTCTCGGAAGCCGTCAGCCGCCTTCTCACTCTACTTGAAGTTAGGGTTGCACACAGGCCGGAAGCAACCATTAGGCGCCAAGTCATGAGGCCAAAAGACCCCCTGTCGTGGCAGAAAACGTCTGGAGTCGTTTACTGGATCTGGTGCAGTTGCGGACAAGGCGATTACGTCGGAGAACCTGGCAGATTACTCCGGACGCGAATTGCCGTGCACGCAGCAGCAGTGAGGCGGGAAGACGCTAGCTCTCAGATGTCGGATCATTTGACGGGACCCGATCATACTTTCAAAATTGACGAGGCCGAAATCCTCGCAAGGGGTGACAACCGCGTGAGTCGCGAAATGCTCGAGCCATGGTTCTCAGGCCCGCAATCCACCAACAAATGCAATGACCTCCCGTTGCCATATTCCGTGCTGAGATTTTCCTGGACATGGAATCAGTCACGTGGGGAGGGCGCGGGCGAGCAACTGTCCTAGTGACAGTGAGCCAATTTGCGGAGCCATCGTCACACCAGCATCCAACACGGATGACGAAATCATGGCAATGAATACTCGGACGCGGACTGACAAGCCACCATCGCATCAATTATGACCACAGCGGTGATTGTGAGAGCTGTTAATTACAGCACGCATATGGTCCCACGGCAGCCACGTGTTATAAATACTGCACTCCTTGTGCCACCATTACTCTTATCTGCGACTGTGTCTGATGATGGATTCAAGTGAGAATCCGAAACGTCAGGCCACTAAATTTCTTGTTCCAGTGATCGCATTTTCGTCTTCTGAACTTCTACGTGGAACTCGCCTGTTAGCTTCTATCAACACTGAAGACTTCCATAAAGAGTCTTCAGATCAACCCCGCCAACTGGGAAGACCTCGCCCGAGACCGATCGACCTGGAGGAGGACAATGAAGACAGGTGCAGCGATCTACGAAGTCAACCACATCATCGCCGCCAAAGCCAAAAGTGAGGCTCGCAAATTCCAACTGCGCCCACCTCGCAATGCCAACGCTCAAACCGCCCCGACCTGCCCACACTGTCAGCAGACGGCCCGGGTACCAATCGGCCTTGTATGACAGCTTAGTACCAACTGCAGCACTCGGACTACACCGGCTGCTATCTCCTCGTCCAACTCTGTCTCATCCCCATGCCGACAACTAACACTGACCGCACCCCCGAATCTCACTACTATCCCCCTCCTCCTCCTCCTCCTCCTCCTCCTCCTCCTCCTCCTCCTCCTTCTTCTTCTTCTTCTTCTTCTCCTCCTCCTCCTCCGTTGCCTCAACATCCGCTACGGCTGTTCCTGTACCCACCACCACTGCGCACAATCCTGACATACCGACAAACATCGACCTCCGCACCGTCAACGCCAGCGGTGTGAACTCGATCCATACATTTTCTCATTAGCAACCGCTCCCTCACCTCTCACATCGGCCTGGTCGGTCACTTGCGAATCCATCGCACAAACACTGGCGAACCAGTGCCATGAGCACCAACCTACACTCGCAGCATTCGCCTCCACTGTCCACAATACGCCCGCACATTCACTTAGCTCATGGTCACATGCGTATCCACGAGGGCGGAATTGACCAAACCTAGCACCTTCTGCGCATCCACCATGCCTAGTTCAACCCACACCCCGTCGCCCAGCACACCCACCACAATCAGCTCCACTACACTCAACACATCTTGCACATCCACCATACCTAGCTCAATCCACACCCCGTCGCCGAGCGTGTCCATCATTAGCAGCTCTACCACGGTCATAATCTCCGAGACCGACACTCACACCGCCGACTTCTCCTGTCCACACTGTCCCCGTACATTCATCTCACGCATCAGCCTGGTCATTCACTTGAGTGTCAGTCGCATCTAGGCTGACGAACAAGTGCCTGAAGCACCAGCATACACCAGACGCATCCGACTCAACTGCCCTCACTGCATCCGCACATTCACCCGCCGCAAGGGCCTATTAGGCCACATGCGCATTCAAGAAAACCTGCGGTAGACAACCGCTGGCTAAACCACACCATCACATCTTCCTCCACCTCCAACTGCTACACGCACACCAGTGGGAAATGTGCGTCTCGGCTCCGTCTCCATGCGGCTCCTCTGCTGCATGTGTGACTCGAGTCTGAGACTGTCGCGATGCGTCAATCGCCATGGCTTGGAAGGCTGCCGAATGACGCGCCAACCCAGTCCACGCAGTCTGCTCAGTTGTGTGTATACAGTAGATGTGCTAACTCATGAAATGTCAACCAAAATTTCGAAATGCGTTCTCGTTTCGATAAGATAAATTAAGTAGTGTTGTAAAACTAATCATGATGCAGCATAAATCTATAATGATCCAGTTATCTCAGGGTGTCGGCTTTCGAAAGAACTGATCTTCGGAAGCATGCAAGATCTATTCTCTGCAAAAAATGACTACTTAAGTAGCATGCAATTTTCTCATTGATTTTCGATGCCCTTGAAAATTCAATTATATTTCATGGAAAACATGCATGAAAATATTCATTGTTTTACTTATTCGGTAGAAAATCACGTCTTCTTCCAATTTCATACTCAAAAGAAGAGTATAATTCGGTTTTAAAAAAACGTTTCTAACTCCCGAATAATTTTGAGCCCGACCTGCTGTTACACTTGCATTCAGGGTTTCAAAACTACAAGCTGTATATTTTCCATGTACGGAAAACCATGCATTTGTCTACGGTGTTAAGAGGAGACCATATGGGGTTCATAAAATTAAGCAGTGAATTTGAGCAATATTGTTAACTTTACAAGCCACATTCGTAAATGCAGATACATGGCGTTTCATGAACGGCCATTTAACGGTATTGAAAAATCACACAATTAGAAACTTTTTTAAAACCGAATTTTACTCTTCTTTTGAGCATGAAATTGGAAGAAGACGTAATTATCTACCGAATAAGTAAAAGAATGAATATTTTTATACATGTTTTCCATGAAATATAATTGAATTTTCAAGGGCTTCGAAAATCAATGAGAAAATTGCATACTACATAAGTAGCCATTTTTTGCAGAGTATAGATCTTGAATGCTGCCGAAAATAAGTTCTTTCGAAAGCCGACACCCTGAGGTAACTGGATCATTATAGATTTATGCTACATCATGATTGGTTTTACAACACTACTTAATTTATCTTTTCGAAACGAGAACGCATTTCGAAATGTTGGTTGACATTTCATGAGTTAGCACATCTACTGGAGTGGCGGACTGGTGGGCCGAGAGCCATGCTGCAAGTGCTATTTCTTAAAGTGACGTGTGACACTCACGCATGTGAGATATATGCCGCACAACTCCCGTTGTGTGAAATTCTGGTGCTTGTGTATGGGCGGCCAGGTCGCTCATATGACGCATGAAGACAAGGTCACTAGATATATCAGCCATCACGCCCACTCCCCGCCCCTCTTAACTGACCGGCTCCGACAGTGACTGGGGCCTGGGAATGGGAAGGGAGAGTGAGGTCGATGGTTCGGCGCATTTTCCTCACTAAAAACAATCTGACGCGCTTGTAGCTATCACGATGCGCTAAAAGCTGTGGCTTGGAAGGTTGTCAACTTACGGGATAACTTAGACCTCGCAGTCGGCCCAGTGTTGTGTGTTTGTGTGGAATGGCCGGCCGGTGATGTGAGAGTCAGGCTGCAATGGCTTCTTCTTAATGTGGCCTTTATGACACTCCCACTACGTGGGATTCGAGCCGGGTGTGGCGGCACTCCCAGGTGCGACTTCGACCGCGCCAGCCCCTCCTATTGTTGCTGGTTAAAATCCTGGTGATCTGTTGTGTGTGTGTGTTTTCTAAGTCAAACGGTCTGAAAGCGTGTGCTATGCCAGTATCAGCAAGCTACGGCCCTCGCAACCTGGTATGCGCGGGCAATTTCCTGATACCCGGTTCCCTGCCGCTAGATGAGCTTAAGCTCCCGCAGATGGTGGGCATGGCTGCTCAATCATCCTCTCCCTTCTGACCCCTGTTGGGGTGTTGTTGTTGGTGAAAAATCCTGGTCAAGGGTATGTTGTGGACCAGGATGTGTGAAGTGGAACGCCAAGGTGCGGACTCGGCCGTGCCATCCGCTTGTGCCATCCCCCGCCTCCGGTCTTCTTGACTCTGTCTTGACACCGGATTCAGGTGGGAGAGGAGAGAGTGCGGTAGATGCTGTGCAAGTCTACTATCACTGTAAACTAACTAACGCACAAGTCACCGTCCCTGCTCTCACTTTGCTGTGTAGCACACAGAGGACGTCGTCGACAACGGCGGTCGAACTGTCGGGTGTGTGTGTACAAACCCATCGGTCTGTGTCCGATTAGTAGTGTTGGGTTAAGTAAAACCGTTCGATGAAGGCACGAACAAGTCTGAAATAGCTACTGCCTCAGCCTCTCCTACCTTTGGCAGTCCGGGCTTTCCTACCATTCTGGCGTAGTTTTTTTCCAATTTTCAGCTCTCTGAGAAGCAAGCGCACGTGTGGATCGCGATGGTGAATGCAGCGGCCAGCACCACCGCGTTGACAACTGTTGTCGGAACTGGCGACTGTCTTACTTAAAGAGATAGAGAGACGACCAGAGATACGGCCGCATTCGCTCACGCCCGCACTCGCAGGAAGGTGGCACGGAAGGCAGCTGACGCCAGACGGGGATCCGTTCCCCGTTCCGTCCACTGCAAACAGACGGGAGAAAGCCCCAGTGCCTGCACGCGAAGGCTTGGGGGCGGCGGGCGGGGGGAGAGGAGAGACGCGTTTCCGTCGCTGGTGAGACGGACACGGCAGACCCACAAGCCCGACCAGTCAGTGAAACAATGCTGGGGCGTCTACGCCGCCTTGCACATACACACACGC